TCCCCCAGCTAGTTACCCGAGAGCTGGCTGTCCCCCAGCTAGTTACCTGAGAGCTGGCTGTCCCCCAGCTAGTTACCTGAGAGCTGGCTGTCCCCCAGCTAGTTACTTGAGAGCTGGCTGTCCCCCAGCTACTTACCTGAGAGTTGGCTGTCCCCCCAGCTAGTTACCTGATAGCTGACTGTCCCCCAGCTAGTTACCTCAGAGCTGGCTGTCCCCCAGCTAGTTACTTCAGAGCTGGCTGTCCCCCAGCTAGTTACTTCAGAGATGGCTGTCCCCCAGCTAGTTACCTGAGAGCTGACTGTCCCCCCAGCTACTTATCTCAAAGCTGGCTGTCCCCCAGCTAGTTACCTCAGAGCACGCCATTCTTGTATCATAATACCCCCTCTACAATTCCCAGTCTCTGTTCCAGTTTCAATCTGCCTTGATAATTGAGTCATATGTTTCATAGAGACCCTATATGTGTCCTGGAAACATTAGGAAGTTTTTTTTTCAATGTATTCTTCTTTTTTAGTCAGGCATGGTGTTGCACACCCTTAATCCCAGGACTTAGGAGGCAGATCTCTATTAGTTTAAGTCTAACCTGGTCTATAAGGAAATTCCAGGCCAGCCAGAGCTATGTAGTGAGATCTTGACTCAAAAAGAAAAGAAAATCATTACATTTTTATTCATTCAGGTATGTCATAGGTGCCTGTGTGTGTGTTGTGTGTGTGTGTTGTGTGTGTGTGTGTGTATGTATGTATGTATGTGTTTGTGTATGTCTATGTACGTGCAGCTACAAGTATGTGTACACACGTGTGTGTGCCTGAGCACTCTCTTGAGCTTTGGTATGCATGTAGAGATTAAAGAGCGACTTTCAGGAGTCAGTTCTTCCTTCCACCACATAGCTCCGGGAGATCAAACTCATATTACTAGACTTGGCAGCAAGTGCCTCAACCTAATGCTCCATCCTGCAAGCCAGGAAGTCTCATTTAAATGCTGTGGATCTATACAAGGCTGACTTATTTGTAGTTGTCAAAAATCACTTCATTTTGTGGCACTGTACTGCAGGCCTTACAGGGATTCAGGGATAAATTACATTGTTTTGTTCTTCCTGGCTTTCCATAGCTTCACACAGGAGAAGACAGATTCCTGACAATGCCTAGGACCTAAAAGGCCACCCTTAGGTGCAAGGTGAAAAATGTCAGAGACACAATTACCCTCCACAAACAATACCAAGCAGGGCCTTTGAGGAACCCAAGTCTTTCTATGGACTGGCTGTTTGGGGAAGGCAAATTAGTGACCTACTGGCATGTGGGTGAATGTTTGGTCTTTCTAAGCATCATCTAGCTGGCAAGGCTGTCTTTATCCCATGATCTCCAAAAGTAACTGCTCAGTTGCACCTAAGCAAGGAAAGGAAGATACAGAGTACTGAGAATTATTACTGCATCAATGTGTGATTGACAGGTCTCTTCAGCCAGCATGGGAGTACCCTTGTTATCTAGTTAGTTTGTATGTTCTAGGGGTGGGCTGATATGTACTCCTTCTCATTCACCAAATACCGACCTGAGAGAGAACAGGATGTACCAGTGTGCTTTACTGTTCAGACAGACAAACGGCAATACAGATGTGGGCTAACTGACTTTGACACAATAACCTTACCCCTGAGTCAGGCAGAAAAGAGTTGGATTCTTCTGGGAGCTGTGGGAATCCTTCCAACACATTCTCATTCATCCTGTTGGCAGCAGCAGACTAGCCAAGAGAGCACGTCACACACAGAGGCCTGAGGTCACGAGTGGGAACAAATTCCTACCATTCCAATTCTGATTGATTAGTGCTGGAGTCACCGCTAACTAGTGATTGCCACTTCCCGAATCTGCATGACTCAGTGGGTGAACAAGGCCTAAATGAAGCACACTTGAGCCTGTGGACACACATTGTTCTAGTTGCAATGGCAGAGAAAGGGAACCAAAACCAAACACAAATGCTAAACACCAACTGAGATCAGGCTGAAGGAGTGGAGGCTGCCAGAGGGTGGGTCTGGCAATGCCTGGGTACCCCCTCCCTGTGGAGTTGCTTCCACCTGGTCTCCCTAGAGTCTGTCCACACTGGCGCAGCGGTGGCGCTGCCTCCACGGCCCTGTCCTCACAAATTCCACTGCCTTCTCAAGGCTTCTGTGCTCCCGAGCTGCAGCTCTCCTCATCTCCTCCTACCTGCCTGGGAAACCCCACACCAGCCTCCATTCCTTCCTGCACTTGGCTCCGTTATGGCTCCTGTGGCTAGGTATGGAGAGAACACTCTTTTTAGGCTAGGCAACATTTTCAGGGATGTTTAGTTTCTTTCTGCAAATCTGTGACAGAGACTGGGTAGCCTATTAGAGTCTCGAGAATGCTTGGACAGTGTCAGAATTAAATATTGCTTTTCTGTTTGTGGCTCCTTGAGTACATCCAAACGACTAATGGAGAGGTTCTCTTTGGGCTTTACGTAAGCTCCAGTGGCTCTGCTGTCAATAATATCGAATGGCACTTCTTGCCAACTTTCCACTCGGTGGAAGATATTTCCTAAAGATGCACATTGTGAAGCAGCCACAAAACCAGCAGTGGCTGGGCCAAATCCTGATTAAAATTCTTGCTAGTGACTCCTTTGCCAATGCTGTCCTGTATTTCCACCTGTTGGAAATATAACTGCCTGTCAGTGCTGGAGAATGTCAGCACCTTTCAGAAGTCACACACACACACACACACACACACACACACACACACACACACACATTGTCCCGTTCTACAATGCCAGCAGTCAAATGTGCTAAAACTTCAAATGTCCAAAAACGGAAGTGACTGGATCTTGCTGCA